CACTTTTTTGGAAGGTCGCATCAGATTATTAGATAAATAGAATGGAGATGTAGTCGTGGCATCCGCTTCTCTGTAATGCACTAGTACTAGAACGAGATTCGTAAATAATGTTGATTATAATCTCAAAATGGGGTTTAACAGTGTGTTCGAGCACAAGCAAGCGCTGTTGATGTATCTTGGGTTTACGGCAAAAAAACAGGAGAGGGCGTTTGAAAACTGTGCGTCAATTTTAGCGTACATTCGAACTTCATAGTAAATGACTCTATAATACATTGAGATACAAATTAAAAAAAGCAAAACTTTAAAACAGTAAGTGTAGTCTCTGATCCAGTAAGAACACTGACGTTAACTGTCCAGTGACCAGACAACGTGGTGGAAACTAGTGGGAAGGTGTTGCCATGCACTTCGTTTTAAAACACTCCAACTTAATTAGAATTTGTAGTTCTTGCAGGGTGAAAACAACGCATACCCACGATGTCGGTTCTGTAACCCGAATTACTTCCTTAAACGATATTAACTTATATTATGTATTTCTGTTTAAAGGTTGCGAGAGCATGTTTTTTGACTTTATAGAAGGGGGAAATAATATAGAATTCGGCGACATGGAGATCTCAGACCTAAGAATGTTTCTACAAATCGGAAGTATCACGTGGACATATTTTATCGAATAGTAGTGTCCCAAACAGATATAACTAATTATTTCAATATTTGTCAACAGAGTATCTATTTTTCGATTCGCTTCTGGAACAACTGTCAATGACAGTCGGCACAGATTATCAGAATGCGTGAGATAGAGTATTTTTTTGTCATACATAAACATGAATATGTAGAGGTACAATTGTGACGTTAGTTTACAACAAGTTGAGTGAAATTTGAGTGTAATTTACGCCTAAAATAGGACAACGGAAAGCAAGTGTCAAACAGTCGTTATGAGAGTCCAGAAAGACTATCAATCATGACCTTATGTAAAAACAAAGGTTTAACTCAAGTTGTTTGTGTTATTTCTAGGTGTGAGCACTGAGGAAATGGAGACGACATTGCCACAGTGAAAAATGTACGTGTGCGCGAACAATCGTAAAATGTATATGTTTTATAGAAACACGCACCTGTTATAGCTTTTATTTTGTGTAAACCAATTATATTAAATCGGAATTTGTGCGCAAATATGGAGACACAGACAGTTAAAAAACTCGTAAATGTGAAAGGTTCTAGGCTCTATGCTTGGCTAAAACAAGAAATATATGAAATAGATTGAGGGCGCCTGTTTTAATTTTCACAACCTAGTAAGATAGTTTAGTTAATTATTTTATTATAGTGACTAGTATATACAAATACCCGACAGTCTTATTAGACACAAACAATTATCACAGAGCTGCTGTATTACCTGATATAAAACAATAAAATATTGACATTAAATACATACCGTCACTGTATATTGTACAAACGTGATTGCATTTTCAAATATGCAAATGAACTTTGCTGTGTTATTACTATACTAGTAATTAGAAAAATAATCTTTTCAACCTCAGCCGCACGAGAAAATTTTGAAATGAAATATTAGCCGCATTATATTAATCATATCGATATTCATAATAAAGTAAACAATATAATAATCATCTTCTATTTGGGCTTGGTAAAACAATACATTTTCTCTCATGGATTGCTTCATCATTTACCACTTTTAATGCAAGGGGGAAAATACCAAACCTGAACTGCGCTAGAAGTGAGCGAGTACTTTCATCTAAATTCAAATGTAAATACTCTGCTTTACCGTAATCTGACTTAAATATTCTATTCTATACTTCTATAAGATTTTTAGCCAATTTATGATAAAACTCACATTGGATATACAAGCAGAGTTGAAGAGGAGGATGATAAATGGCGAATTCGAATCAGTGAGTACGTTTACATATTAATACATTTATAACATGGACAATATGACGTCACTTATCTTATCTGTTTAGCCATTGATATATTAAGTCATGCTTATATAATATCCAGGCAGCAACGAACCATGAATAGAGATATAGAAATACAAAGACATGAATATACGGACTACGACATCGTATTGTAGATTATCTGTCCATCGCAGCTGCTCGATTTATTGTACGGGAATAGATTTATAATGCTACGACATATTGAATGTTAGCCAAGTTTATAATTCAATCTGACGGTCAACCCTACTACATATAGGCGATATCAGATTTCCCGGCTCCATTGTCATTGATTCGGGTTGTACGAAGTATAACCTCTTCTCACTATCTTTCTCTCATCATACACAACTGCATGTAATAATATTCGGTAACTTAGATACACTCTTGTTTTCAGTTTCGTTTCGCTTCAAACTCGGCATGTGTTTGTTGAAACAGCGGAACTACACAACTGCGCATGCACTTTTAATTATTAACTGGACGCCGGCATGGAGCCACTGGTGGCGCTGTATACAATTGAAACCTATTTAGGCTCGCTAACGCTCATGTAAACTACAGTGTAAAAGCCAAAAACACTTGTTAAATTTGGTTACCAGTTTAGTATGATAGAAAGCGTGTATAGTCTTCAAATTATCACAATAGACATAGTAGGGGTCAAGAACAAATATACGTGATTCCGACGTTTCATAATCAATGCTTTCTATTAATAATTACACTTTCAAATAATATTCATGAGATATGTCTACGTCGTAACCTCGTTAACGGTCATTATTGTGTACGCAGTGCGCATTCTTCGGTCCCTTTTTCAGTATTCCACAACCAATGCGTCTTTACAGTGAGGTTAATTGCAATTTACGTTTTGTGTAAGTGACTTTCAGCCCCGTCAATGAGGTTTGTCAATCAATTTTTGGTGCTGAACGCTGTGTTCGTATTCCAATCCCACACATAAGCGACGCTACCTGATATATACACAAGCTGACAAGCCACACCAACCCAGAGACTGCTCAAATAGCAAAAGATTTGTACACACTCCTACCAAGTCATACGCTGTAATATGCAAGCACAATTCTGGTTCCCTAACAACTCTGGATCCGTGAACTTTATATTCATTGAACGAACTGCGTGGGCCCAAACTTATGTTTTTAATTCACTCACGAAAAATCGTTCTCAATTGTGGACGAAACAAACCTGATAGTACGCGATTTATGATACTAGTATGTTGTTCGTTATCATGTCGCCCTCTTCAGGCAGTACACGACTTGGGTATCAATGAATTGCCACTTGAGGGCGACATCATACACATGTCAAATCTTTAAGGTCTCAGGCTTTAAACAACCATTTTTCATCGTAAGGAGATATTATTTTCACTGTTTGAGGACAAATTAATGTTGTGGAAATAAAGTATTAATGTCACTGGGCAACCATGACGTCATGGGAAAGTAATGCAGATAAGTTACATATTGGTAAAATGTCCTTGTGTCATATTCAACTTACATCTCTCGTCAGGAAACGAGAATTCTTCCCGTCCGCCTTGTGGGCGCCCACGCCATCTACTACTCCCACGTACAATACTCCCACGATCCCAGTGGGATTTTAGTATTTTGTTGGGCTTAATGAATATTTGTACTGAGCCAAACAACAAGTTGATTCGATGATTGGAAAATAGCACATTAAATGATATATCCTACCCAGTTACGCATAGATCGATGTATCTGAAGTGAAGCAGACTAAACGAAAAATTATAGTTGATGATGATGTACTTCCGATTTAATTGGCATGTTGTGTGTTGATCCCATGACAACGAGTTAAATGGACTCAATTATAACATGGTAAAACGATATCTACTGGAAACCCAATATAAAGTACGTGACAAGATAATTGGGTGGACGTAATTTTATATATTCGATATCCGCATCACATTGCGCCATGTGGAATTTTGTTTGTCCAGTGTTATTAGGTCACGAATCGTAGTGAACAGGTGGAAATTTCAAAACTTGGAGTATGAACATTTATCTTAAAAAGTATTTGCATTGTATCTAGCGGAGTTTAAAATCATCCTATCTATTACCAAATTTTCTATTTTACTTGAGTTAACCATCATATTGAATACATTTTCTCGTTGACGTGTTGTTGTATATGCTTGCTCTCAATACAAAAAAACACACGATGGATATTAATATAATGATAAAATTGTCGTCATTGTGCGGGCGATGTACTCTTTTCATCAACATATCTGTGTCGTCATCACCATGATACGTGTGTATATATGGAATGTACTGCTAGTGTGAAACGAGACACGTGTGTCTTTTACGCAACGCATTGACGAGAGTTTTATAGAGGATCATAAAGGAAAGGTGTATAATAATGACGAACTTACTAGTAATTAAAATAAGTGCGTTTGGTACTGAATGCAGGAACCTCCCCGCAATCATATTATTCTAACCGCCGGCATCGTAGCATACAAGACATTTGAAAAATGTGTGGATGGCTCAAGCATGCTTATCGCTGTCTGTGAACGAACCATACGGTGAATGGAGAGTTAACATAGTATGTGAGTTCAACTACGTACACTTTTAAGTATAACCTGGGGCTACTGAAACACTGACAGGCTGTAAATTGTGTTGTTATTGTCAGTTGGTTGAATGGTTGGGAAAACACGCGAACTGAATAACTGTACAATTAACTATGCCTCTTAATCATCTGATCTGCCAGACTAACTGTGCAGATATGTACGCGCTGTTAGGATCCGCATTCAGAAATTCCTCACACTGATGACATATTGTGCGTTTATTTCATCCGATGAATGTTATTCTCCCGACGACAACTATAACACACGACTTCTTTCACAGGGAAAAGTATTCCGTGTCGTAGATCCGTCTTGTGATCGTATGAGTGTAAGTATGTAAGGCATGGGATGGCAGTCGCGTCGTTCCATTAACATCACTTACTGAGCAGCAGGCATGATTGACGATGCACTACACTGCCATGATGTCATAAACGTGGGAAACTACAACAATATTCAGTGTGTCTTTGTTGAAGAATCTGTGGTCGTATTCATCGCGGGTAGTCATGGAGAACTACACTGTTTACAACAACACTCCTACCGTAATGGCGGAAGACTTTGAATGTTTATACGGAACATTTGTGGATTTACCAATCGACATAATTTCAGTCATAATCGGAATATGCGGTATGTTAGGAAACTTGTTTTTTCTCTTCGTGATAGCTCGGGCAAGGTCTTTACAAAACGCGACAACGTATTTACTTGTGAGTCTGTGTATCTCCGACCTCGTTTATTTGCTAATGCACACTATTTTTAGGCCAAGGTGGCTACCGAAAGGCGACGCCCATACGTGGGACCAAGTAATGTGCATAAAGGGGAGTATAACCAACTCAATGTTTTCAGTTTCTATCTTCACCATATTGACCATCGCTGTCGAGAGGTATTTAGGTGTATGTAAACCCATGTTCTATAAAGTACACAGCTTAGATAAGTTTAGTAGACTCCTCCCTTTATTGATAACATTATGGGTCTTGGGATTTACTCTCGGTTTTACATATAGCATGCATTGCTACGTGAATACGGATTATTACGATGAAAACTTACTTTGGTGGGTCACCGCCGTTGTCATGACTGTAATATACTTTGTCTCAATGACTGTCGTTGTTGTGCTCTACGCGCTTGTTGTACAGAGAATTAAGCAGTCAAACGCACGACTTGAACGTTCGAAGAATTTCGACATACAGCGGCAGCGTGTCAACGTGGTTCGCCTCTGCATTGTCACCGCAGTTGTGTTCTTCTTCTGTTTGTTTCCAAGGACGTTGTACATCTTGGCGTATTTCAACTTTCTGGTGACGGGCGATAGCGATTTTGTTGACACTCTTTATTGCTGGAACGACACTTTTATTGCTATATTGATGATCAATTCGGCAGTGAATCCTGCCATTTACAATGCAACGTGTTCTATTTATAGAAATGCATTTGCCAAAGAGCTGAAATGTTCGTCAAAGAAATCGTTTGATCCCAAATCCGCTAAGAGTGACACACTTCCACGACGCAACACTGCCAATGACGACAGCGATTGGTGTGGCACAATGGTGTACGATACCTATCGCTTCTTAGGCGAACATGTGTGGATTCCTCGCAATCTTAACGTAAAACCTTGTGTGGATAATAACACCAAAGTATAATACAGATCACGTGATATATTGTTCAATTTCAACATTGTATGAAAGACGATAAAGAATCGTATTTATTATATGTGTATTTCTGAGCGACTAATTTATTCCTTCATTTACAATATATATTTATTGTGTGCATATGTCAACATAGTGACGATACTAAATTTATTTAAAGTGAGTACTAGTAACTACGAATTATTTATTCACCGGTCTTGTCATTGTAATGTATATCTTGTTACTATTGTTATACTTGAGATACAATATGACCGCATAACTAATGAATAAAATCATCAAAGTGTCTACGTGCCAGTTTTACATGGAGGACTCGGAGAAAGAACGAAAACACGCCCGCAATATAATTATGCATAGTATTGTAACATCAAGGTGTACATCGTTTTGTCATGCGTGTGAACAATCAGTCAGTCGATAACATAACATCGCTACATTAATACTAAATAGCTGCAGTGTAATTGTAAATCAAAACAATTTCTACATTGTCTCATGGAATTGTATTGCAATACAGGATATGGACTGGTGTAGTATCCACATATCATGACACATTGTAAATCTATAATGATTTACCTGATTCAGGGGCAATATATGAACATTTATTATAACCATTATATAATACATTATTACATTTCGTTCTGTATACGAACAGTGTATATCTTCAGTGTTATTAATCGCGTTTGTTATCATGAATACTATATAACGATCCCATCAACAGTAAATATAACTAGGGAGCAATCAGGAAACTTATGAAATCAATTGTAAATTTGCAATTATAAAGAGGGTTCATAATTTTTCATTAGATTGTAGATGATGAGCTAATAACACGCACACATCTGTGATTACTTCCTTAAGTGGAGTAAATATATCATATTTTTTGATTAAGTATGAAATTACTACAATGTAGGTGTCATATACGTTGTTGCTTGTGTTAAAAGAAATTTGAGAGATTCAACGAACAACTATAGAGTTAAAGAACCGTGACTAAGAATTAAGGAATAAATTCATTAAGTGTACTCGGTCAAAAACAATTTAGGATACAGGCACTCCTCTAAGCATATATGTGAAGATTTTGACGTAAAATTCTTTGCTGCCTAGATTATCGCAGTTGTATTGTTTCAGACATTCAACAACTCAGTCACGTAAATACTTACTCGTTACTTTGCTTGGCTATGCGATATTCGTCATGAAATAGCACACACACACTCAAACTAAAATGTACAACATATATTATGCATGGTCATGTGATTTAATTTCTCGCTTGACCAACTTCTCGGATTAAACTCGTCCTGTCTGTGAGTCAACGTAATTGACTCGATTATATGTTTTAGTGTTTTCATATGTTTTTTGTAATTGTAGTTGATAACTTGACAGAAAAAAATCTATACTTATGTTCGAGGAAGCAGAGCCTAGCCTCAAGCTTCGTTCAATTCGCCCCGTCGGGAATAACCCCGAATTGGCCTTTCCATGCAATAGTTATGCCTCTTTGCTCATTATCCGTCGTTTTATATATGGAATATTACTTATTTATGTGCTGCGTCCAATGAAACACAGAGGTTCGATTCGTTTCTAGTTATATTGAGACATGCATCACGAGTTACATATCGGATTTTTAATACTGTAGGAAGTGTGTCTAGTCCTATTGTTATACAGAATGTATGATTTTATCATCATACAATGAATTTGTATAACAAAATCGTAATGTCATAAATACATTGAATGAAATGCAATTAGTTCGTACGTGTACCGCCTACCAATTACAACCATAAAATCGTACGGGGACAGACCATCACGGAAGAGACAATTATTTATGTATTCCACGTGTAAGTCACATTTCCCAGCAGTGAAATGAATGGAATAAAAATCGGCTTCTAATGCCTAACAACGTCTGTATGTAGATAAATTCGTGTATACGTCTCCTCCACGTTAACATGATGGATGACGTTACATTTAAGTTATAAAGTCACATGCTCAGCATCTCCTTGAGGCGTTTGCTGTGTGAAAACGCGGTAAATAATGCTTCAGTTCTTGCGAATATGTAAATCACTAAGTATAGACCAGGGTATAGTAATTGGGCCTCATGTTAAATCTAAGTAGGAACTGAAATGCGAACTCAAGTGCTCGAAGAAACTTTCACGAGTAGGACATGTACGAAGATGGATTAATTGGAGTATGTTTTTCTTTATTTATCGATGCCTGACAATCATTCACTGTATACAGTTTAAAACATCACAGTTACGCGCTTGAAATTCTTGTAAACAACACGACTCCGAGTCGTCGCTGTAATATGTGCAGCTTCCCCACATCATCTAACTGTGCATGTCTTTATTCCTATTTGATACAGTGTAATGTTACATTAAGATTATCCCAAACAACTAACGGATTATGTTATAGAAAATAACAGTGTGAGCAAGCATGTGTGGACCTACGGGAATTTACACCCCGCCGATTTCGGTAATATTGGAGAGCAATGTATACTTGACTCTCGCCGGTATGGGCGAGATCATACTGGGAAACACAAACAATGCAATGTTATATCTGATACGAACAATATAAACCTTTTAAAAACAGGGGCACAAATGAAAAATGCGACGGCAGAAAATCAGTCGATTTATGTCAAACATACTTACCAGTTTAAAAAATAAAAAAATATATGGTTATAAGAATAAGTACTAATAGACAACTCTAGATATAAAATTAATAAATTTCATTTTATTCTACGCTGGACCGACGGAATGCATACATTACTAGTATTATCTAACTACTCGGACTTGCTGTGTATAGCACATTTCACTGAACATGAACAAATAAACCTTGGATAAAATACCCAGGGTAAGCCGTTGTTTGATCTGGATTAAGTATTGATTTATAATTATAGAAATTGACGTGAATTTTAATAAAATAATTACATTACCATGATGAAATGAACATATAATTATCACAAACCGCCCACAATGAGACATATTTATAGCATGTTGTGTAATGGAGTAATACAAATGGCGCTTTTGACCGCCGGCGAACACTTAGGAAAAATGCGAAGAAATGAACAGTTCCATGAGAGATCAACACAAAGAGAATAAGATGACAGGAAATCACTGAGAAATATGAATAGCTCTGATTCACCGGTACGACTCGGGGATGATTAAACATTCACATATTTTAATCATCGGTCAAGGGCTGAGCCATTTGAAATTCTGGGGGAACAGGAATGAATGATAAAACGCGCATCCTTGGTCTTCTCCTATACATGAAAACAAGGCATGCGTATTATGAGTTGAAGGAAATGTTTCAAGAACGTTTCTGTAAACGAAAAACAGTCTTAATACACATCCCCCTAATGTGTGTTGATTCAAACCACGTATATCGATTTGAGCTCCATCGAGATGCGGAAGGATGTGATAGGATTCATTCACTGGTTGATGACACTGATGCGAAGAGATTTGTCTTCGGCCGTGCACCTAATCTAATATGGCATTCACTGGAGAATTTTTCTTCATGACATTATGCCTAAGTACGACGAATATGGATTACAAATCGTCTGGTAGTAGAATGTCGTCTGCACATGCAGTGTTTGGGTAGCGTTAGGGGGCGCTCGTGGACAATTCGTGGCTATTTTGAGCTGGTGACGTTTATCAGCACCAATTATTTATTTAATTCGTAACATAGATTAACATATTATTATAAGAGTAGTAAATCTCATTTATGAGCTAGCACATACGATATAAATAGCCGTAGATTGATGAATGTCGGTTAATCTACGCAAATGCCGCGAATGCGTTTTACATTTGTACTACATGCCGAAACAACGTGTTTAGTTTATGCTCAGACTGGTATTACTAGTCTGAGGTTTATGATAAGTATGTAAGAAGTCGCATTTCCTAGAAACCCGTACGATTCTAAAATAAAATAAAACAAAATATGGTCATGCCCAACTGCAAGCACATAATAACGTGTGACTTTTTCTGTAAACAGTAACAATATATTACACATTTTTAATGTTGTCATACATCTATGTGTATGCCATAAAAACTCCATTACATAAATATGCCATATAAATATTGTGAACACCGAATATATTAATTAATATAATCTCTCCCTCCTAAAAATACATAAATCGCAAAAATTGACATAATATCCCATGTTGCTGGAATGCCGTCATAATATATGGCACACTAATACCTAACGTACCTCAAAGTTAATATCCTCCAAATGAATTTCGATGCTTTAATCTTTCAATTTTGTGTATTATATACTATTTATTTTTTAAATCAACTATTATTGTCACGCGGCAAGTGATATTGTGGTCATTCGAGTCTTTTTGTATATCCGAAAAGTAATCACGTGAAAATGTTTTTATATCTTGCACTCCACTGAATCTTACATCATACACAAATGTAACCATAGCGACTCGGGAAACAGACAAAATAAAAGTTCTAATTTTCAGGTTTCCATGGCAATATATATAATAATATAATATAACAACGAGCGAATAATAACAGGTATCACGTGACCTGTAAAAACTAACTACATTTGTATTAAGATTAGGGTATATGTAATTATATTTACTGATGTTTCAGAGCTGTAAACAATCAAACTTAGATCCACAGTTCATCACGTTATATTCATTGGACCTGATTAAAAATATCTTTGTAATAATACATGTTTTGTATAAGGGGGCGTCACTTTACTAATTTGTGAGAGAAAAGCAAACATAAACGTTGCTTTTAGACACAGTTTCATCGTAAAAACAAATCAAATCCATAAAACAGAATAACATTCATTATTATGTGTTTGGTCTGAAAGTAATTGGTTCAAACATGTTTGAAATATACAGGTGGATACGCATGGACGCCGTTCAAACGGGGACTAACAACCGATTAGCGATTGTATGTCAATGTTAGTGTTGTGAACAAAGCGTTGTGCTCAGCGAACTTTGACTCGCTTGCGTGACAGTGTCATTGCATTTGGGTGGTAAATTAGTGTCCAATACGTTTGGTTTC